TTGGAAGAAAGCTGAGACATATTTGTTGCAAAAAGACAGGATCTGTCTTTTGGGCGGGGCAAACCTTTAATGAGTAGACCTTTGACAGCCCCGCCTCCCATCGCTCCTGGTCTACCCCTTACGTCAATCTCCCATACCCCCAAGACTTACCAGTTAAAAAAGAAGATCACTCACCAACCTACGGTTTGGATAAGCTATCTCCTACCACAGAAGCCGATAAAGTGCAAGAGGTCCTAGGATTTTCAATATTTCGACTCGGATCTCTGAAAACATGCCATTTTCGAATGCATAGACAAAAAGTACACCGAGAATTCCCCTTGGACAGACAGAAAGTGTATCATGAATGCATAGAGTAATGAGTTCCCCTCAGCAACACTGATTGACGGCTTTTAGGAATACTAGAAGATCTTGAAAGGACATAACCCCTCGTTTGATAACCAGAAATTTGGGGAAACAACGTCTTTGGATTTCATTAGCATTCTGATCGGGTGTACGCCCACTCACCCGACTCTTTCCGAGATTTCCAAGATCGCAATTTCGTCTAGATGAGCATTTGGTCCATCGGTTGCGGGGACTAGCCGAAATAGAGTAATCGGGGACTTGTCCTGCCAGATAGATACTGTGTCAAATAGCCGTCCTGGTTGGGGTGGAAGGCTTGACCCAAAGATAGTGCCGATTAGCTAGTCGAACTCCAGACATGAGGGCCATAGTACGTCATTGAGGGCATTCGGGCCCTACATAACCTCCGCCCTCGAATCTTTCAGTACAAATCAAAAACAAGGCGACTTCTCTTCCATGACTAGCTGCCTGTTTTGAATACCCGTTTGGGGATGCATTTGTTCCCCAGTGCCCCATGCTGTCAATCCCGTCTCGTCACTTGCAGTCGGCTTATATTTTTCACCCTCTAAGTACATCTAGCCGATTAGCACAATTGTCCTTACGAGCAGCTAAAAATAAATACACCACTACGAAGCCCTTTTAGGTCAAGTACAGCTACCGTATCA